ACCATCACCTGCAGCCTTCAGAAATGTAAAGCTGATGGGATAATGTGAGAATTATTGAAGGTATCTTTGTCTCCACATCCTCACCTATTAACCAAACTGGAAAAGAAAGAGAGAACTGTTCCACACTTGTTGCCACCTGTGTCAAAAGTAAAGATGCCATTATAACCATTTCTCTGGTACAGTTCAGCACAGGCTGCTGAGTCAGGGAAGGCTGCAAATTCAAATTTTATCCGAGAGGTGTATAATTTGTTCTCTGGGACCTCAGCATTTTCCTGGTGTTTATCCTTAGCAAGTTCTGTGTAGCTCTGCTGTACTGGTGTTTTCACAGCTGGCCATCTGCCTTCTAGAAGCAGAGCCATCGAAAACTAAAGGAAAACAACAGCTTAGGAGGCCCTGACTAGCAAAGACAGAGAAAAAATATTTCAGTGCTAAAGATAAATGAAAAGATTTGAGCACCAAAGACAAATATTTCAGCATAGAGAAGAGGGAAGAGGGCGCGAAGAAAGAGAAGATGACTATCTCATATGAAATTAATTTAAAAACTTTTTTTTTTCCTCAAAGTTTTAATACATTCTGTAGTAATACTTGTCATCACAAAGGGTATCAGACATCAGAGGTCAACAGGTTTTGCAAACATTAGGGATTAGCCATGGTCACTAAATATAATAACAATAAGCAGAGAATGTTGGTGTGTCAAGAAGTGACTTGGTGCATAAAACTATTTTCTCAGTTAAGATGAGCTACATTCCAGAAAATGCACTTTTATGGAAACCATATTTCAATTGGGTTCAATTGGGTTCAATTCAATTTATTCCATTAAGTTCAAAAATAGCCAGAAGCACTTTTTATTGCCAGGAGGTACATTAGTATCAATGCATGGCATGGGTTTCCAGACAAGTTTTTAGAAGATTTTCCTTGATTAAAGGCATGCAGGTAGAATGTCCTGAAGAAACTGTAAACAGGTGCATTACAGCAACAGATATGACTTCACAAGTGGGTTGATTGCCTTCTGCTTGGAGACTAAGTGACTGTAAGAAGAGATCCATTTTTGGGGAGTGCTGCCACTGATGTTTTGTTAGTTGGCATTTACTAAACAGACCAAAACAGGTGTATGTTTGATTCAGGGCAGTTTAAGGGAAAGCTGCTTATTCTTTTAAAAACTAATCCCTCTTCCCTTGTGTTCAGTCACATAATAGTCTGCAGTTCACAAGTACCAAATAGTAGCTAGCATTGTAAAGATGGAATCAATAGCATAATCCTATTAAATTCCGCAATGCAGGCTACTTTTCAGATATATAGTGGAATCCTCTTAAATCGATTTTTTTTTTTTTTTAATAAAAGGTAGGGTTATGTGAGGCTCTAGCTAGAAACCTAAAATATATTGTCTACATAATGTTCTTAAGACAGCAGTTCAGTCTGCTTTCCTCTGTACATTTTCTTTGTGTTGGCTGGATTGTAACTGTGATGCTTTGCTAGGTGAACTTCCAAAGCCAAACCAACATTTCTTTAGTTATTGAAACCATAGAACAAGGTAAGAATTGTTAAGTTTTCAATGAGAAGTGACATATCTAAGTGCATGTAATCTACTGTTGTGATTTCATCCCAGCCCAACACAGCCATTTGCTCCCCCACCAGGTGGATCCTGGGGAGAGAATGGGAAGGGTAAAATCCAGGAAACCTGTGGGTTGAGATAAAGTCAGTTTAACAAAAGCCACTCACACAAGCACAGCAAAACAAGGCATTAATTCACCTCTTCTTGTGGGCAGGCAGGTGTTCAGCCATCTCCAGGAGAAGAGGGCCCCATCACAGGTAACAGGGACTTGGGAAGACAAAACCATCCCTTTAAATGTCCCTGCCTTCCTCCACTGCCTCCCCACTCCATATTCTGAGCATAATTTCCTATGGTCTGGAATATCCCTTTGGTCAGTTGGGGTTATCTGTCCTGGCTGTATCTCCTCCCAGCTTTCCAGGCACCTCCAATTTCCTCATCAGTGTGGCAGCATGAAGGGCAGGAAAATCCCTGGTTTTGCATAAGCTCTGCTCAGCAACAATGAAAACATCTCTGTGTTATCAACCCTGTGCTCAGCACAAATCCAAAACACAGCCCCATGCACTGTGAAGATCAGCTCTACCCCAGCCAAATCCAGCACATTCCATCCCTATCCTGTACTATTTACATCATGCTAAGATCCCACACTGTGCAATACAACTTAATTGCCCACCACGACCCTTTGCCTTCTTTTCTAAAATACACAAATGCCCACAGAATGTCTATTGAATTCATTTGGCCCATGACTTTGGGCTGCTTCTGTTGTGGTCATTGCTGTGGGCACACACAAATGCCCACAAAACGTCTATTGAAATAATTTAGCCCATGACTTTGGGCTGCTTCTGTTGTGGTGCTCACTCAGGACAGGACAGGGGTGTGTGACATGGGGTTACTGGGCACCAAAGCCAGCTCAGCTCACCAGTCACTACTGCACTGCAGCTGCTCCTTGTAAGGTTCTCCTCCATGGGTTTTTGTGGCTTCTGTCACAGTAATTCCTCTAACAGACAACTCAAATCATGGCTTGCAACAATTTAAAGGTACCTTCATAACAGTCTTCACCCCTGGTCCATTTGGGGTGTGTTAATCTGGTGTAATATTGCAATGAACTCATCTTCTTCTCCCCAGCCTGGCTGCAGCCAAGGGTTCCTGCTGAAGCCCCCCAGAATCGTCCACATCAGTGTCTTCCATGGGCTGCCACAGGCTGGAAGGGAATCTTTGCTTCCCCTGCTCCAGCCTGGTGTCCCAGACAGGAGGGACAGTCCTCCTTGCACTTGTCCAGCATTTTTCCTTCCCAAAGGCTGCAGTTCTTCACAAACTGCTGCAGCGTGCGTCCCCCATGAAGTCACAAGTGCTGCCAGCAAATCTGCTCCATCACAGGCATCACATGGGGTCACATCCTCCTTCAGGCATCCAGCTGCTCTGGCAAAGAGTTTCCAGGTGGGTCTCCTCCACTGTCTGCTCATTCACAAGTCACAATCCCTTCAAGTCAAGCTGGGACCCAAGTGCCAGCCTGTCCAGCACAGCAGCCATACCCTGGCCACCTGCCAGGGCAGGCACATCCCTGGCTGTCATCAAACATCCCCAGGCACAATTCAGCGAGGTGACAAGAGGTACAGCACCACAGCAAGGAGTGACAGCCACTAACAAGCACGAGGCTCTCACTGACACTCATGGGAACAAGCCCCATGGCAAGCACAGGAGCCTGCTCATTACTGCCAGACAGAAATTCAATCTGGTACATCCCAGCAGATCTGTCATCTCAAACCCTTCACTGGGCACCAAATAAGGCTGTTGGGGTTTTGGAACAGAATCCCCCAATTCAGTGTCCCCACTGAGATTGTCCCCACAGCTCGGTCCCCTCCTCTCCCCTGTGACAGGATGGAGAGAACTGGAAGTACAAAAGCAAAGAACAAGGGTTGAGATAAGAACAATTGACTGGAAATAGCTATGGGATAAGAAAAAATAAGCAGTCACATCAACACTGCTAATGAGAGAGGGTAAAAGATACAATCCACACATAAAAACCCCCTGATAATAGACAGTACCAGTGGCTCCCTGCATCACGTTTTCTTGACCGGAAGGAACCCCTTCTTCCCAGAAAACAGTCCCAGCCCCCTGCCAATAATGTAAAGGGCTATAGAAAAACCACTGGGTCCTAGCCATGTCCACTCCCAGCTACTGCAAAAAACAAAAAAACAAAAACAAAAAAAAAACCAAAACAAAACAAAAAAAAAACAACAACAACAAAAAACAAAACAAAACAAAAAAAAAAACTGTCCTGGCCAGAACCAGGGCAGTTATTGCCACCGATTGCCAACATTCCTTCACTAACACAATCGGATTGTTACTTTTTATTGAAAGTTAGCGTTAGCATTTACTTGAGCCTCTTTCTAGACTATATCTCTTTTACTGTTCACTTGATCCCAAACTTTGTCTGCTCACATTTGGAAATTGGAGGAATTCTAAATCTCTTTTGAAAAACTGTCATGTTTGAACCAATAGGAAGATTGAATGCCTTTCCCTGCAGGAATATAGCAGGGGTGTAAATACCACAGCTGTGACACTAGCTAGCTAATTCTTGAACCAAAAAAGAAAAGTTACCTTGTGCTTGGTACCCAGGTCACTGCAGCTTGTGTTATGGTATAATTGCTGATGGGCAGACTGAGATTTCCAGTTGTATCAGTGGAAGATGATTTATCCAGCAAGTCATGCCATAGTCCATACATATTCCAGGAGACCTGGATATTTGTCTCGTGTCTTTCAGAACAAAAAAGTACACACAGATTCAAGAAATCATTTCTCTGTTTCCACAGAAAAGATCTGCAAATGTTCTCCTTCCTACCTTTCTCCGTACCATGAACGCTTTCCAGTTGTTCAGCCACTGCAGATCCTGATGCTATCAGCAAATGTTCAAAAAAAATTAGGGCCTCTACAGTACCTAGACGGTAGAAGAATCACAAAAATCTGTAACTACAGTTTGTAAGTCACAAAATCAGAGCAACTCTATGATCAGGATGATAAACTGATGCTACCTAAGAGATGACAGATTTCTCATTTCTCCAGGCAATAAATGTACTGCGTTCAATGTCTTCTAGACTAATTTGATGCATTTTGCAGATTGATTTTTATTGCTAACATCACACAGTATCAGAACTCCAGCATTTCACAAATCATCAGCAGCATCCCTCGCATGTGCAGCGCTGTCCACAGACCTTCTCTGAAACGGAATCCTGGGAACAGACAGGGGCTGAGGGCCAGGCAGTGCCTCTGCTTGACCTTCTGGAGCAAGAGGGCCACAAAGGAGCTGGGGAGATCACCCAGAACCCTGCCTTTGACCCATCCATCTCCCACATTTTAAATGAACCTCTCAATAGATCACAACGCGTTACAAAGGTTCGGGATTGACAGGAGGAGGGGGGGGGGAAAAGAAGCACAAGTGTAGCAGCCTCATTAGGATTCTGCTCTCAGAGACTGCACACAGCTTTGTCTTTTGAAGAGTAAAAGCTGCTTAACAAGTCAGCAATGGCCTGGTCCCCCCCAGAACAGCTATGGTAACAGTGTTCATTGCACAAACATGTTTCTTGAGCTACTTTCCCAAGTCCCTGGTAATGCAAACCTGCGGAGGGAAATAAACGCAAGGCAGCTCTTTTGTCTCCCTGGGTTTTTTAAACACTCCACATGACAAGTATATCACTCCTGCTTCCTGTCTTTTGCCTTTCTGTTAGAAATTATTCATCAAAATACACATTTCTGAGATTAGGGATGAATAGTTCATGCGGCTAAATCCACAGAATCAGTTGCACAACTGCAGTCAAAGTTAAGCAAAGATTTCAGAGGTTTCTGTTCTAGTAAAGACATTTGGCAGTACACTTTGAGATGTACTTGCTCAAGACCTTGGAAAAAACTTTTTACAGTTAACAAGAATGCATTAGGGTGGTTACACAATTATGCTAATCAGGGGCCATAACAAAATCAATTTACCCACCCAAAAAAAAAAAAAATTTTTTTTTGGTAGCTCTTTTCATTTTTAGAGGCTGGCAGGCAGAAGTGTTGATTTTCCCCTTCACTCTGATTTTTTCTAAAAATCTGGACACAAACCTCTCCCATCACTTATCTGTCCTTATCTGCAGGGGAGTGCTCTCAGTGCCACATCTGGACTGGGCAGCCACTGCTGCTGCTTCAGCAACTTCATGGCTATTGCATCGAGCCTGAAAAAAATCAATATTTATATTTATTATAAATATAAATACTTAATATAATACTTACATTAATCTAATTTTTATTTTATATTTTACATTTTTATAATTTACATTAATTTAATATTTATTAAATATAAGACATTATTATTAAATAGAATATGTTTATTAGTACCATTTAATATAAATATTTATATTTAAATTAAACCAGAGAAACATAACATGTATAATATATATAATGATGATATATAATAATATATCATTAATATAATGACCAGATAAATCAAATTACTTAAGCACCGTCATAGAGATGTTTAATACCAAAAACTATTTGGACTGCTACTCTTTTGCCTTGCCTAGCCTGAAGGAAAAATTGTGATTGTGTATAAGCAAGGTGCAAGGGGCAGGCTACCTCAGGCCCTTTCTCAGCAGCAGGTTGTGTAATCCTCCATGGGGATTTGATCCCTTCTGTACAACTTTCAGCTACCAAGCTTCAGGGTTCTAATGCTAAAATCACTAAGGCATTAAGCATTTGCTTTAAAACCTTTCTGCTGTATCCTCCTGAAACATGAACCCTGGCCATGAGGGGCAGGAAGCATGAACTTATTAACAAAATGTCTCACAAAAACAAATGCATTTTTGATTAATAAATCAAAATAGAAGCATTAATCTCAAGAGTAAATGAATGAAAAGCACAAAGAAAAGGTCAGTTTTTGAGATTTCTACTGATAAAACTGTATGCTAGTTGTTTTAGGGTATTGATTGTCCCAATCTTTATACATACCCAAGTTGCTAAAATGTGGAATCAGAGACGAAAGTAAAGTGCTTTAAAATAAATGCACACTTGCTTCATACACAATTCTAAACACGGGGCAAATTTGGCCTTTTTAAAAGGGCTGATAATGCCAGTACTGTTCCCCTTCTCCCTGCTCCATCCCTTTGCCCTGGTGAGAAATTTGAATTGAAGAAGCAGAAACTTACTATCCTGTACTATCCTCCCAAAAGCGCAACACTGACATAGCTGGCTTAGCTTCCATATATAAAACCACACATTTTATTTATAAAGCACTGGAAGTCCTAAGCATTTTAGAAAGTCTCAAAATGACAAAAAGTCAAATAAATATACATGCTTAGGGTAGCATACACAGTGCTGCGTTCACTTGAAAGGTGCTCAGGGACTCACCACTTCAAGAAATCCATGAATTTCTAAAACACATCATCCTTGCCCTTTGAACAGAGACAGAGAGGGAGATGAGCTCATGGCAGAAAGGCTTTCCTGATGAAGTGAAGGGAGACGACCATCCGATTGATGAGCATCGAACTCCGATTTATTGATCAACCATGCACATTTTTATAACTGTGTTAATTAAGTTCATACATATTGCAAAACCCGAGCTCATCATTGGTTACAGATTAAACACCAACCCCTCCTTTTGTTTTCAATACCTGTGGTTTGTTATTGAAACCAAGATTTGTGTTCTCACCCTGATATGAAAGGTTCTCAAGGTCTTCATGTTTGTCACTTTTGCTTTCCCATACTTTATCCAAGGACAAGGTATTTACTTGTTATTGAAGACAGGCTTGAGAACTCTTGCTGTTTACAGAAACATGCCTGGGAAACAGGCTTGAGAATTAGCTGCTTACAGCTGCCTTTTACTTTTCCATCAGCTGTATATTTTCAAGGCCTTTTTTCCTTCAAGCCATGTCTGAGCAAAATTCTCCAACACTTTCCACACCCCTGGAAGGAAGAGCACCATTTAGAAGCAGTGGCTGGAGAGCCCCAAGCGCAGGAACCAGCAGTAGCACCAAATTCCCTGAGCAGCACAGAGCTCTTTTGAAAGGAACTACAGGATTAACAAGCCTGATTTCTCATGATTTGAATACTATCTGCTTATATTTAGGAAATGTAGATAGAGGCCTATACACCCCAGGGGTGAGAACAAATTACAGCATAAAAACCTTCACTCAGAATGGCTTGAAGCTCAACATAATTAGTGAAAAGCATGTCTATTTCTTTCTTCCCTTCTCTTTACTTTATAAGCAGAATACATAAAAATAATAAAAAATAACCAAAACACTAACCTGAAACAATGATGTGTTTTCTATCAGACACTGACAAATTGACAGGGAAGGGAGAACAGTCACATTTCTAAGATCACTTTGTGTTATTTTTATATGTACAAGAGAAACATGAGTGATCCGAAAGTATTCTACAGGAAATTACTGATTTAATTGGGTGTTGCCTGGGCAAAGAAAATAAAACACCTTGCATACTCAGTGAGTCATTCTACGTACAAATCAAGGAGTGCTTTGGTTTTTTTGGCATCTGATCAGGGCAGGAGAGCCAAAGGTGAACAGTGGTGCTGCAGGTCAGCAGCACAACTACAGGGGCATAAATGAGAATGTGTCTACACCTCTAATTAATTAACTTCAGTGTGTTAATAACTGAAAAAAAATAGAAAAAAAATTGTGTAACCAAGTATGACTATGGAAAGTATTTTCAGTGGAACAGTTCTGATATTTAAAAAGAAAGGGGAGAAAACTGTTCCTGCAAAGACCCATTTTGCAAGTGCTACAGTTTTATGTTGCCCTTTCAGAGTAGACAAGAGAAGGGAAGAAGAAAACCTGTGATTCAGAAATAAGTCTGAATCATTTTTCCTTGGAAGTATGCTTAGAGGACAGTATTCAGCCTGCTAGATAACATCACACTGTGACTCCTACACACAAGTATTTCTAATTTGTCACCTAAATTCTCTAATTCAAACATTTATGGTGCCATTATTCCCAATCAATTGAATATCACCATAACAATCTAGTGGAGAATATGATATGCAGACCAACTAGAAATACGCACTAAACTGTGTGTGTATACATATAAATACATATATAAATATATATATATACTTGGACACATAAGCAACTACACCTGCCCCAGTACATTTTGCTATTTGATGATTCATTAACACAAAGCATAATCATAAGCATATTTTTCTCTCAATTATACATACTTATATTTAATTTCTAAATATTTAAACCCAGATTTTTTTCCTCACTTAGAGCATCTAACACATTTTTCCCTTCACTCCTATGGAAGAAAAATGTTCATAGCCATAAAAATTGATATGTCTTTAGTAATCAGAACATTTCCAGCTAATTGGCAAATACAGAGTCTGTTATTCAGATTTTAGTAAGCCTAAATTAAATGAGCATGAGAGGGGAGATTTGGTTTTGGACCAGGTTAACATTCTACTGAACAGAAAGCGAGTAATGGACTGCAGAATTCAGCCTTTGAGTCGCCCAGTGAAAGAGCTACTAACAACTATTGTGTCAAAATTTTATTTGGAGAAAGTCCTAAAGCTTCTTTCTGTGTAATTCATGTAAGTCTTGAACTTCTGACATTCATCAACGCAGTGCTTACATACCCTACAAAACAAAATCTTATGTCATGCATCATTAGATGATTTCACACTGCTCCTCCAGTCTGGCTCACTGATGTCAAACACTGTCTTGGAAAATCTCTTAGTACAATTTGGCAGTCTCAATATCACTTTTGTAGTGCAATGAGTCAAAGATAACTTATGCTGTAGTCCAAAAAAAATTTAAACTATACCTTTCTTGGTTTTGGTTTTATTCTCAATTTGCTTTTCAAATTTAATTTACAATTATTTTGTGCAGAGTCACAGACTCAGCATAGGAGAGGTTATGTGCCCTGCTCACCTATTCAGCCAAAAAGGGCAA